TTAATATAAAAATTTAAATCGTGTAAAAGGTAAAATAATAATAATAAGCAAAAATACTACTTTTTTAATAACTATAAAACTAATATTTTTTAATTTTTTTACTTTTTTTTAAAACTATTTAATATTTAATATTAACAAAAACTTTTATTTTAATTTAACCATTTTTATTAATTATTTTATTAAGTTATATTACGTATATTGTTAGTTTGGATTAGTTTGTACGTTTAATAGGCAATATTTTTATTTTAAATTTAACGTAGTTATTTTCTTAAATAATTAAATTTATTACTAATATACCAATCTTTTTTACTTTTATTACAAAATTTAAAATAATAATAATAAAGTTGGAAACTTTTATATAAAATGCGTATATAGTTTTAGTTAAAATATATGCACCAAATTTTATATATAATAAAATAAAAAAACTTTAATATTATAAATATAAAAATGTTTATTTTTTAATAATAATAACGCTTGGTTTAATAATATTATTTTAGATTTTTTATAAAAAAAAATAAAATTATTTTATTATTAAATATTATATATATTTTTAAAACTAATATATATTTTTTAGTTAACGTATATATTAATTATAATTTTGGTAAAATTTTCTAGAATTTAACCTTTTTTTTAATTTGGATTAATAAAAAATTAATTAAAAAAAATATTTATTAAGTAAAATATAATAAAAATTAAGTTATATTTTAATAGTAAAATATAAAAAAAAAAAACTATTTTATTTGTTGGATAATATTTATATTTTAAAATATTAATAAATTAAATGTAATTAAATTTATAATAATTATTTTTTTTTGTTATATATATTTTATTTGTAGTAAATTTAAAATTAATATATATAATTGGCGTATATTTAAATTCGAATGGGATTAAAAATATTTAATGTAAAATATATTAAAACGTTATTATAAATTAATTTTATTAATAGTTTTAAGATTTTTTTAAATTTTTATCGTTTATTAATAAACAATTATATTATTTTTATTAATTTCTTTATAATTAATTAATTCTAATTTAATAATATTATACCTTTAATACTTAACTTTTATAAATTTAAATTTAACAATGTTATTAAAGCTTTTAAAATATTTGAAAAACTTAACCAAGGTATGGATATAATTATTAATAGTAAAAATGTTATAATTTACGCTTTTATACTTTTTTATATAAAAAATATGCCATAGCAAATAGAAAATTACAGCGTAAAAAGTTTTTATATTTTAAAATTTTATCGCTTTTATTATTATTTAATAATATTTAAAACCATTTAACAAAATACCATATTAAATTTCGATATTATTAGCTATAATAAATTTTATTATTAAATTATACAAATATAATATATAATAATTAATAGCATAAAAGATAATATAATTAAAAATACTTATAATTTACAATAAAAAATGGCAAATCTTTAACTATTACTTTAAACAATATTCCCGGCATTAAATATTATTTTATCACATTTACTTAACCTTGTCCATTCCAAATATAATAACATATTAAACTTAATGCATTTTTCTTTTTAAAATAGTATTTTAATATTTTTAACAATATTAAAATATTTATTACAATTGTAAATATAATTATTTTTTTTAAAGGCATAACGTTTATAATTATTAAAATACCACTTAACAAGTTATAATATATTTTTTTATATTATATAGTTTATTATTATATTAATATTTTTTTAAAATTAATTAAAACTTAAACATATTAAGTTTAATTTTAAAAATAAAACAAATTTATATAATAACTTAATAAAGTTTATCATTTAAACTTATATTACAATTGTTAAAAACAATACAATTTTTATAGGTTTTAAAATTTTAAAATTAAATTGCAACAATTTAACATTTATAATTAAAGATGTTAAAAAGTAATTTAACCAATTATATATAATTATATTTAAGTTATTAAATGGATTACATGCCGTTTTAATTATATTAATTAACTTTAATATTAATAAATTAACCGTTATTAATTTTTTTATTAAAAATATTACCGAAAGTTTAATACGATTTATTTAATATATAAATAATACATTGCAATTAAATGTTTATATTATTATATATTATTTTGATTTAATTAAAAAATATGGTTTAATTAATAATTACACTATATTAATTGGCAAAAATTTATATTAATAAGTAAAAAAAAATATTTAATATATAATTTTTAAATAATTTAATATATATAAATATTTTAAATATTATATAAAAAAAATAAACTATTATAATATTAAAAAAGTTTTACTTTTTAAATATAATATTTAAATGACAATTTACTTTATTTTACGCAATAGTTTTAAAATATAAAACCTTAAATTTATAACCAAAATTTAATAATTATATTAAAAATATTTTATTTTATTAAAAAAAGTTTTGTTTTAATCGGATTAAAATAAAATAGTTAATATAAAAGAAATAAAAAATATAAAATTAAAAGTTGCGATATGCGTAAATAATATATATGTTAACATTTTTATTATTAATTATATTTTAAAAAAAAAGATTTATTGTAATATTTATGCCATATATAACGGCAATATATTGTTTGAAAAAAATAAAAATTTATGCAATTTTAATTAAACTTTATTTTTTAAAAATTTCCGATAAATATATTAACGAAATTATAAATTTAATAGCTATTTTTTTTAAGTATAAAAAAATAATATTTAGATTTAATAAATTTGTAAATTTAAATTTAATTATTGGTATTTATTTTTAAATAATATTTTGTTAATATAAATTTTATATAAAATATAATAGTTAATTATTTTGGTTTAATAATATAATATTTAATCGATTTGTTTTTGGAAATAATAATTATATTTAATATAAAAAGGTATATAAATTTACTTATTTAAATTATATATTCCTTTTTATTGCATATAATAAAAAACATATATTTATAATAATAATATTTTTATATTATACCGTTATTTACAATAATTTTTTAAATTTAAAAGTTTTTTAAATATTTAAAATAAAACTTATTATTATTAAAATTATAACTATTAAGTTAGTAAAGTTATATTTAATACCAGTAAATAATATTAAAATTATTTACGTTAAATAAAACGTGGCATATTTATAAAAAGTAAGTTTAATTTTTTTTAAATTTAAATTATATTATTTTAAAAGTTAAAAAGTAAATTTTATATATTAACATTTTTATATAATATATTAGCTTTATTATTATATATTTATGGTATAAGGTAAAAATATTAATGGATGTTTTTATATTTAGTTATTTTTTAAAATTTAACCTGTTTTTTTAACAGTTAATATTTTTAAGTATATAATTATTAACTTTATTACTTTTATATAAAATTTATATAAATTTTAATATTTATATTATATTTATATAATATATTAATAATTAATATTAAATTAAATATAATAATTATATTATTATAATAATTAAATTTTAACATTAAATGGTTATAATATGTTAATTTTGCGATTTAAGTTTGTTATTGCATAATATTATTACGGTTAATTAATTTTAATATTAAAATATTATAATATATTAAATTTAAAATTTAACTTAAAATTATTATATAAAAACTGGTTTTTAATAACTTAAAATGGAATTAAAAAATATTAAATATTTATATTTTAAATGAGTTAATTTTTTAATAAATAATATATAATAAAAAGGTTAAGTATAAAGTATTTATATATTTAAATGAAAGGTTTAAAGTATTTAAATAAAAAAGGTAATATATTTATATAATATTGGCGTTAAAATTGGAAATATATTTAAATATAAAATAATTATTAAAAAAAGAATAATTATTGGAAAGGAAATAATTATTGGTAATAAAATAATTATTAAAATTAAAATAATTATTAAAAATGGAAATATTGTAAATAATATAATAATTATTTGTATAAAATTATCTCAGGTGACTTTAAACTTAAATCTCGTAAAAGCGGGTTACGCTTGTTTGCGCCACGTAACGCATGGCCCGTATAATTGTATTTGTAGGTCACAAGCGAGGCGTTTTACGAATTTAAGTTTAAAGTTGCTTTAAACCCGTAAAAAACATTTGGCATAAAATTGTTAATAAAAAATAAAAAATAACATTTTTAACAATTTAATAAATTATAACAACGTACAAAAAAGCTTCTTTTTTAATAACTTGATATTATTGTTAATTTTTTTTTATCTTTTTAACTTTTTTTCATATTTATACGACGTTACGTTATTATATACCAAGCTTTAACGTTAAAAAAAACATCTGGTAAAAAAATGGTAAAAAATTAACACAATTAATAACACAATCAACAAATTAATTAATAACATAATACCACATATAAAATATCTTTTATTTTAACTTTAACCTAATAATATTATTATTTAAACTTTCCAGCCTTTTTTTTATATACCCGTATAGCTTTAACGCGTATTATAACGCATGTTATAACGTATATTACAACCAATACGTTACAATTAATACGTTGTAACCAATACGTTACAACCGATATAACCGATATTACAATTAATGTTATAATTAATCTTAACTCGAAACATATATGTTTAATCAATAAACTTAATAATAAAGTTAATAGTAATAATTATATAGTTTATTATTTATTATAAAAACGCGTTAACATTATAATAATTATAATAATAATTTTAATAATTTTTTATGCCATAAATTTAATTTTTAAGAAAACGGGTCCCAGTAAAGCCTTAAACCAAAAATTCGATATTGTTTTAAAAAGTTGTGATTGGTTAAAAAATGGTGTGGTTAAAAAGGTACAACCCTTTGAACCAATTTAAATTTCTGGTTTAAGGTCATTTAAAATAAGTATAAAAATAATTAATTATAAAATAATAATTATGTATAAAAAAATAATAATTTTTAAAAAAATGGCTTTTTTATAAAAAATAATAATCTTTAAAAAAATGGTTTTTTTATAAAAAATAATAATTTTTAAAAAAATAATTTTTTAATAAAAAATAATTACGTATATTATTATAATATTATCCATTTTAACGTTTATTATAACTAATATGATAATTTATATAAAGAATTATTTTGAGCAATTATCCATTACTGCTATGGTAGGTAAGTAATTATAGCTTTGGCTAAAACTTCGGGGATTAAATGTTTGGCTTCCTTATAGGTAAAATTCGTTATGCCACCAGGCAAACATCTTAGACTCTCATTTTCTAAATGCTTTAACACTCCACCTCCACCAACCGGTAAAATCTTGAGTAGCCACGTCTATGCCGATATCTTTGAGTGCCTTCGTGCTGAGGTGGCAGTCGTACGGCCTCTGGACGGAAGCATTCGGGTCGTTCCCTTCGGTATTGGGCTCGATGGCTGCGATCGATAGACCCATGATTTCGCCGAAGAGCTGGCAGATCTCATACTTGGTATACTTGCTCTCTGAAGAGAATTGTAAGATATAAGGTAATTTAGATGGATCATCCGTGCTTAGATATTTCAGGGAAATATCTATTCCCAGGTGTTAGCGATGAATAAGCGAACTTAACCCAGGAAACTGTGTTAAATGCAAAGAGAAACATACCGTAACACACCCGTCCTACATCTTCGGTCTACTACGTGTCAGTATCCCACACAATTATATTGGAGTGTAGTTTCGTGGAAGGGATGAAACAGCGGTAAAAGCCATTACAACATACTGCAAACATGTTAGCATCCATCGAGAAAAGAGTACATGCAAAAATAATTTCGAAGACATAATATTTCAAACTTACCATTGGTAGGGTAACGGAGAGCCCAGTGGTCCATCTTAATCTTAGCACCTGGTTCTTGTGCTTTCCAGACAGATTCCATAAGCACATTCACAGCGCTCTCAGATGGCACCTCGGCATCACCGTATAATACGGGAACACGTAGGACAACACCAAGACCTGCCTTGCCAGCGCGTTGATACTCCTCCAGTACAACCTGCTCCCCATCTAGCTTCGTCTGCCCGTATAAGTTGGTAGGTTGCGGCTTTGCATCCGCCTCGTACGGTGCCTCGCCAGGCTTTCCCGGGAAGACATAGTCGGTGGATATATAGATTAGGAAGATACCGCGCGCTGCGCACAGGGAAGCAAGTCTCCTAGTAGCTTCGACGTTTAGGGCGCGCGTCCCCTCGGGATCGTTGTCACACTTGTCAGGGAATCGGTTCGCGGCGCCTAGACAGTGTTAGTTTCGCGCGAATCCATGGGCGAGTGAGTGGAATGGGCTATAACTGACAGTGAACTACAACTTGTGGCCTTGGAAGTGAAAGATAATGTTAACAGGTAGGTAAAATCTTATGAATAGACGGCAATCTTAGTATAGGTATCACATACTTAACATTGTCAAGGGTAGCCTCTACTTGCTCTGCATTTACTAGATCGACCTTGAGGATCGATGACCCGTCGGCGCGAGAGTAACCTGTCCCTTTAACGTTCCACTTGCCTCTTTCGAAGGCCCTTACAACCTGTCTGCCTAGTAGGCCAGTGGCTCCGGTGACCAATGCAGTTCTATCGGACATCTCTGATAAGCAAGGCTTTTGGTAGTTGAGGAGATGAGTATAGCTTTAGGCCAATGCTTCAAGGTTAATAGCACGAAAGAAGCTTGGAGGGGTAGCTTTGATTTGAGATGCATAATGTACTATCTATGTAATAGCGGGGGTGGGGCCATCAATAGCTCTACTGCCCTGTAGAGTGGGGCCATTATAGCTTTTTTTCCCTACGTGTAGTTGTTTAAGAGTCTAAGACTACCTACCTATGTATTTTACGAGGTTTAATCAGGAATAGGAATAGGATATAGCCATTGCCTTCTTTTCTATAACAAGACCCCATCACCACTCTAATTTCGAAGCTCCCCTCAAATCATCCACATTCAAGATATCTGCGCCCTCTTCCATTAACGTGTGCCTGACTTTGTTTCTGATACCAATTGGCCAGCTAGGCGTATCCCAATATCGAACCTTTAGTCCTCTGCGATGAGCACCCTTGATCTGGCCGCGAATCGTACCAAGTTGTTTTTCACTGAAACCGCCTAGGACGATACCTATACTACCTGCAAAGCTCGCGCTCGCATAAAATGAATTAGAGTCATTATAGATAGGAACTTCGGTAGACTTCGTGTCCGAGGCGTCTGGATCCTCCCACATATCTGTTAGAGGGGCATCGAAGAATGCGTCTCTATACGTCGCGTTTTCTGCGAGTAGATCGAACGGCGTATTCCCCGTCCCAACAACGGTTACTTGGCGCTGATGGATAACCCCATTGTCAAAGGAAGTTAACCAACCCCTCGACCTCAAGGGTTCGAGCTGTGCTAGGACATGTGGCCAAGTCTTAGCCCCGTCAGTCTTCAAGTCCACAAGGAGAATCACTGTCTGTTCTGGGTCGTAGTCGAAAACACCCCGACGTGTATCGTTATAGAATTGTGTTTGAGGGTTTGTGCGATTGAGTAGGTCCACTAGAGGATTTACGTAGAGAGACGTCAAGGTGCGATTTGGAGTTAAGGCTGCCTCGTCATGTCCAACGTAGAGTTCCGGGCCGTCATCAAAAAGCCAAACATCTGCTTCGACCCCGATACAACCAGCGTGTAGGGCCGAGAAAAGAGGCACCTTGCGCCAATAGTCGTTATGCGAGTGACATCGAATCGGAACAACATCACGGAGAAAGTCTGTAGGGTACCAAGCCAACCCCTCTGTTCCTGTATCCGGCTTTCCCCAGTTCACAAAAATTTTGTCTGGGTCATCTTCTAGACCCCATAGACTCCTAGCGATAGAGAGGAGCAAGCTTATGAGCAAGATAGAAGCTCTAGATTTCTAGGTTAGTTGTGCGAATTGACGCAGTCTTCGTTTAGATAACAACGCCTACAATATGACCAACCCCCAAACGCTACCGCATGTGAGATAGCTTTTCCAGCGTTGCCTTTTTAGGTCCGATTGTACTATTTTATCCGCTGAGCCTATCCTTGGTGCAGTAAGGTCCTCATTCTCTTCGGGTTCATCGACAGGTACATAGTCATGAGAACGTTGCCGGTTCCAGACGTTACTTAAAGGTAACTTCATTTGGGAGCGCTAGTTCTTCTTATATTATCAGGCTAGGCGTGGCTTATTTATTTTACCCGGGTAGGAAAGATGGAATATTCTTAGTCGGCCACCACTCTAATTGTCTGTTTGACTCGATGATTAGGTACTCTTTGTACTCGGCAATACGTCTCTGACGTCAGTTTGAAAGCAGTGAAGGATAAGACCGAAGTTACATCAAGTTTACTTAATTAGAGGCAGAATAGTTAAATATAGATATCGAGGAGGTATATTCAGTAGGTACCTAGGATATGATGGATGATGGCAATAGGTTTAGAATGGCTGAATGGTACAAGTCTGTCAAGGTTTATGGGTAATTCGGACTTGGCTGCTAGTTTAGAGTTGGTCCCTGATCTTATCTCATTTAAGTGGGGCGAATATGCTAGAGCTTAAAATGTGGGGTTAACGTACTCAAAAATTTTGGAGCTCGAAATTCATTGCCAATCTCTCAACTTCATTGACTTCAAAGATCACAATCTAGATCAAGATGCCGCATAAACATACACGCAGAGAAAAGGACCCTTCCACGTAAGTACGGTCCTGCCCTGTTAACCCAACGGCTGGCTAATTTCCATACCTAGATACGATCTACCCCCTTCGCAGATCGCAAAGCCTTTACCAGTAACGTCGCAATCGCAGAAAAATGATGCAGGGAAGCAGGCCCAAGGCCAGCCTGGGAAGGGCCAAAAGCGCAAGAGAGATGTGAAACAGAAAGATGATGCGCCTCGAGCATTCAAAAGGCTAATGGCATTTGCCGGAGGCAAGAAACCGCGGTCTGGATTAGATAACGGTGATGAACCATCCAAAAAAAGCAAGAAGAGGAAAGCTGATGCTGAAACAAACACCGAGGTCGAAACCAAGACAGAAACAAAGGCGGAAAAACAACTTCCTAAAATCCAGCCTGGCGAGCGTATGTCGGATTTCGCGGCTCGAGTAGATGCTGCGCTTCCTGTCAGCGGTTTGATCAATAATTCGGTTAGGAATGGCAAAGATCCTCTAGGCCTAAAAGTATGGAAGACAAAAAAGGAAAAGAAGATGCACAAGTTATACGACGAATGGCGAGAAGAAGATCGGAAGATTAAGGAAAAGAGAGAAGAAGAACTTGAACTCTTAGCAGAGAAAGAACTAGAAGATGAAGAATCAGGTGTCACATGGAAACTCGACTCGCAGAGTGGTGGTAAGAAGAAAAAGAAGGGGAAGAGGGCAAAGTATCTGGGCGAGGCTGCTAGCGACGAAGAGGATCCGTGGGAAGCATTGAAGAAGAAACGCGGCGAGACGAAAGCCGGCTTGCACGATGTCGTTAAGGCGCCGCCGGAGTTTACCGTCAAGCCGCAGAGGAAGATGACCGTTAGAGGCGCAGCGGTTGAGATTGACGGTATTCCGAAGGCTGCGGGAAGCTTAAGACGAAGAGAGGAGTTACAGACTGTGAGGGATGATATTGTCGCCTCCTACCGGAAGTTGATGAGCAAGAAACGGCCATCTTTACATACGACCTAATATTAGAGTGTGTCTCATATCAGCTTTGAACAACATAGATACCCTAAAGTCACGAGAATCTGCGATATCATTGCGAATATGCAAATCTAGCTGGGATATTGCCTCTAATGCCACTTGTAGTGTGGGTAGCAATCGGCCATTTGGCTATCAAATATTATTTTGTAACCTGTCTTCTCTTAGGTTCCAGGAGGACACCAAATGGTCGCTTCCATCCCCCAAACCCGCGAAGGAATACGCAAGGCTTTCACTCCCTCTCCCTCGGTGCCAAAGTCCCGTTGCCTAAGGTCTCTCTTTTATTCAGCAGTAGCGAATCTTATTACCTCATCGACAATTAACCTCGGACACGGTCACAATGGAATCTCATCATCCACGTCGCGGCCTACACTACGTCACGGCGCCGCCTACCGAGGGAGGCCGGTCCGAGTATCACATGACTCAACTAAGGTCAATTAGTATGTTGGACAGTTGTGAGGTATCTCTAGGGGGCTGCTGTCGTCAATGATGTTAGAGATCTGGCTGAACAATACCGAAACAGCGCTATTCAAAATGCAAACTCCAAAGCGTATCAAGCGAGAACAGCAGCTACTTAGACAGATCCTACCGAAACATATTCTAGTGATCTTCGAACTTCCCGCGAATCTATCGAGCACATAAACTGCAATGATTTGCGGAGTATTAATAGAGCTCTTTAATAATACATTGCTGGCTCCACTAACGACCCTCAAGACGAGAACAAGGCAAATAGTAGATACCATAGCGGAGGGGGGGGGTTTCGGAGAATGGTTCCACCCACGGAATGGTTTTGTGGGGTGGAACGTTTTTAAGTTTTAAGGGCTTTAATTGGCTAGATTTTGAAATAAATAAGTCTGGATTTAAATTTTTAAAACTTATTTTAAAATTATTATTTTAAATTTTATAAAACTATTTTATTTTATAATATTATTTTAATTTTTGTAATTATATTATTAATTTTTTATATATTTTAATAAATATTATTTATTAAATTAATATTTTTATTTATATTTAATTTTATAATTATATATTTATTTTATTTTATTATATTTTTTTTATTATTAATTAAAATTAATTTATAATTTTATTTTTATAATAAAATATTAATTTAATATATTTTATTTTTTAATTAATTTAAATTTAATTTAAAAAGTAAATAATTATTTTAAAATTTATTTAAATTTTATAAATATTTAATAATTTTAATATATTTATTTTATTTTTAAAAATGGTTAATATATTTTTTATTAAATTTTTAATTTAATACGAAAATTTTTTAAATTATATTTTAATAAAAATTAATATATAATTATTTATATATTATATTATATAATAAAATAAAAATATAAAAAAATATTAAAAAAATTAAATTATTTTTTAAATTAAATTATAAAAGTTTATATTAGTTATTTTTTTAAATTATTTAATATATAGTTTTAAAATGTTTTTTTTACTTTTTTTAAACGTATTTTTTATAAAAATTTACTTTATATATTTAAATTTAAAACTTTTAAATTTTATATATAAATTAAATTATATATTTTTTTTTTAATAAATATTTTAATATATTATAAAAAAAATTACGTTTTTTTATTAATATATTATAATATATTAATATTAAAATTAGTATTTAATTTTTAAAACGTTTTAATAAAAAATTTACTATATTATATTATAAAATCAAGTTTATATAATAATTATATAATATATAATTAAAATATATTTATATAATTTTAAAGTAAAAATTACACTTTAATAATTAAAATTAAAATATTATATAAAATATACTTTTTAACAAATTTATATTTATTTATATTAATTTATAAAATAAGTTTTAAATAATTTTATATAATTATAAAAAATTAAAATAGTAATTATTAATATAGAAAAATTATAATTAAATATTTTAAGCTTTTTTTTTTAATAAAAAATTAAAGTTTTTTTTATTTAACTTTAAAATAATAAAAATATTACGTTAAAAAAATTTAATAAATATATTATACCTTTTTTTAATAAATATATTTATAAAATTTTTAATTTAATATTT